ACCCGTCCCTGGGATAGTACCCGTCCCTGGGAGAGTACCACCAGGAACTTGAGAATAAAAACCAGGTGGTATTGATAGGCAGATGCTACTCTTCAGTAGGCATCCCCCCTACTTAACAGCATGGGGGGATGCTATTGTTAAGTAGAGGGGGTGGGGGGATAAAGAGAGCTACAAACCCCCAGAGGGGAAAAAAAAGCAAAGGGGGGGGGGGGGTGTGGCAAATAAACAAGTGAAAAGAGAAAGAAATTTTGAAATATAGTGAAAACCAAAATTTTTAAAGTTTACACGATACCTACAAAACCAAAATTCAAAACCCAGTGTCCCAGAGCCTTCGAGGAGGAGGTTAGGGGGGGGTGGGGTAGAGGAGGAGGAGGAAGGCAGTTATTGGCTGCCTTCCTCGAACAACCTTGTCTGCCATTACGGTAATAAGCAACTCGGGGCTTTATAAAGGCGTATAAAAACCCATAATTCCCCTGGACGGACCTCCTCCGACGCGGACAATATTTCGTAATGTCCAAATAATGTTAATACGAGCTTACTACCTCTCGGCTATGCTTGATACCCGTCTAAAAACCGCCTTGATGGCTCGTATGGAGCAGACGCTAGGCGCTAAATATTAAGTTAGAAGGGCGTAAGGAAGGGCCTGGAGGTCGTAAGAGGTGTGTCAGAGGTCAGTCGGGGGGGACGAGGGGGTCGTGGAAAAGGTCATTTGAGGTCAAGATGACCCTGAGAGAGCATGCAGCCTCCGGTGATGTGGAGATTCTTATAGGTGCTCAGAGTACCTGTTTGGTGGAGGGGACGAGAGGGAGGGTTAGGCATGGTTGGGGAACAAGGAGGAGGCATGGTTGGGGAAAAGGGGGTAGAGGTGGTAGTTGTGTGTGTGTGTGTGTGTGTGTGTGTGTGTGTGTGTGTGTGTGTGTGTGTGTGTGTGTGTGTGTGTGTGTGTGTGTGTGTGTGTGTGTGTGTGTGTGTGTATATATATACCCACGTATGTAGGCAACACCAGCTGCGGTACACCTGTGTAATTTTCTACACAATAGCCTCGCATTATATCTGAAATATGTACCATTTTAAGAGGCGTTTCTTGTAAAGGAGAGAGAGAGACCTCGCAGCAATCTACTATTGATTTAGTCTTTAATCCCGCTAAGTGCGGCCTCTTGCGGCCACCAGGATTATAATAATAATCGCTGCAACACTACAGCCCCCCCACAATACCGGATTTTTTTTAGGTCTAATTATCACACCCATTTTGTCTTCGATAATCTCCCCCCTTTCCTCGTTCGCTCTTGGGGACTACATTCCATTTTCTGTGTTCATTTCGGGTTGAATTGTTTTTTTTTTGGGGGGGGGGGTTTAAGGGCTATTCTTATTTTCGATATGAAGCGCTGTATAGAAAATGGAAAGAGGAGGTGAAGTTTTTAAAGAATGGGATATTTATCTCTCTGTCACTCACTCACTCACTCACTCAGCGAGCTTGAGTCGTCCCAGGATGATGGCAACCTGGATTTACCTGAGCCCCCCAATAACACCAGTGGCCTCGACGAGGACGCGAAGCCGGCGGGTTGTCAAAGGTCCAAGTACCCAAAATTCCTGCCACAGACATTCCAACGGGCTTCTCCCCCCTCCCCCCACACAGTGGTCACTCCCCCTCCCTCACAGTGGTCACTCCCCCCCCTCACTGTCACTTCAGAACTCCTCATTCCTGCTCCCGGCCTCATAAAAGGAGACGGCCAGTGATTAAGGAGGATATGAGGAGGAGGATTTTCTTGAGGTTGTGTGAGGAGGAGGAGAGAGAGAAGAGTGTTATATGGTAATCGCGGAGAGTGGCTTAGTCTCCCTCCGGACCTGTTCATTGCTGAGAAAACAAATTACGAGGCTGTGATGCCTGTGCTTGTGTCTTCCTTGTGTGTGTGCCTGTGTGTGCGCCTGTGTGCGTGGGGGAGGGGTCTAGGGGAGCCTAGGTGCCGACAGGTGTTCCTCCACATGTGGGAGGCTAAACCCCCTATTTCCCCCCTATTCCCCCCCCCCAGGGGAGAAATATCAGGTGAAAATGGGGGAGGTGAAAAGTGCTATCAAAGGGTGTCGACCCATAACAAAGTGATTCTGTTATTTCCTTTCCGTTTCGAGACCCCTTTCTTCCCTCCCTTTCCTCCCTTCCCCTCCTCTTCCCTTCCCTTCCACATTTGGAGGACCGGGGCAGGTGTGTGAGGCCAGAACATCTGTCACTGATGTGAATGATACACACACACACACCTGACACTCCCAGGAGGGCCCCGCACACACCTGGCACTCCCAGGAGGGCCCCGCACACACCTGGCACTCCCAGGAGAGCCCCGTACACACCTGGCACTCCCAGGAGGGTCCCACACACACCTGGTACTCCCAGGAGGGCTCGCACACACCTGGTACAAGACTGAGAAAGATTTTTCTGAGGGGGGAGCCTTTTGTGGGAGTTAGGGGGTGTTATGGAGGGGAGGGGGTGAGGATGGAAGGGGTGAAA